ATTATAATGACATATCATATTTACTATCCATTTTCAACTTTAAAGATATATTTAAATAGTATAATGTCATCGCATTATGCCATACATATAATGCCTATGCTTCATTTTATAAGGGTAATTGACTAGAATATTCATATCCATATTATTCTATAGGATTATTCTATGTCATTGATATCATTGTATAAATGTTGTTATAATATGCCTATGAGCCGCAAGAGGAAGATGGTTAAATATAGAGAGAAGAAATAGAATATGCCATTTGTGTAATACTGAAGTTGGAGATGAATTTCATTATATGTTTAATTGTCCAAATTTCTCAAATGAAAGAAAATTGTATATTCCAAATTATTATAGCAGGCAACCAAACTGTTTAAAATTCCAGCAACTTTTTTCAACACATAACAAAGTTTTACTAGTTAAAATATGCAAATATATTAATATAGTAATAGAGAGAGTCTGTTCTCCTGGTTAAAACAGCACGTACTCTATCTTGAATGTACCCATTGTATATTTTCTTAATATCACATGTAAATTGTGGTTTAAAAGAATAAAATCTTGTCTTGTCTTGGCAAGGCTTAAAGCTAATAAACAATAAAATATTAACACCTGACAATAAATGTGTGGGCGTATATAACACCTGGGCGGCGAACCTACCCTGCGGGGGTATACACGGACACGCCGTTTGTTTACTAGGGCAAGGTGATAGATAATTATGATAAGATAATTACTGTCTCGTGCCCGTGTCTGTATGGACAATACAAACGGTAATTATATTGTGATAAGACTTTCACGCGAACGACACGACACAACTCTCTCTTTCAAGTAAATCAACAAGTAAACCTTTAAACATCATCATGCGTTTCGCAATCGTTGGACACAGCTTCATTGCCAGGATGTCTGAAAACTCTCCTGCAATCTGACGATGTCCAGCTGATAGGAATCCGTGGGGCAACAACCAGGACACTTCTACTATCAAAGAAGATCCTTGATCTTGATGTCGACCGGGTGTTCCTACAGATTGGAGGAAACGACATCGGCCCCACATCAGACCCATATGACATTGTCAGCGACATATGTGACGTTGTCGCTATGTTTGTAGAGAAAGTATGCCGGGTGATAGTTGGTAGCCTGTTCCAGCGATACAGACCGCGGCATACATCACCAGAGAAATATGAAATACAACGAACCAGAATAAACACGCGTCTATGCGAATTATTCAAAACAAAAGATAACGTTACATTTTGGAAACTGCGCGGACAAGTCTACAACACCTCACAGCTGCTGCATTCAAGGACGGCGTCCTTCTAACACAGACATTGGAGACCCGTTACGCAAGACAGCTGAAGCTAGCTAGCCCTGTACTGCAGTCAGATGAAGTAGGAAACTACTCAGATTAAAACGGCCCTTTTTAGGGCCACACAATGTTCAAAGAAAGTGTCATTGAATGTCTCGAAAACCCGCTCCCCCACCCCAACAATATAAAATGACCATACAAATTAAAGATAGTCTTTGAAAAGTCCCTTGCAATGACGTGACTAATCGTAATAAATGATTTACAATTATATTGTTGATATTTATTGACCTATGTACTCCCTACAATCTGAATACGTATATACGTTTTACAGTGTATAGAAGGAATAGAAAGCACGCCCCTCTTGTCTTTAATCATAAATTCTTACCTGATGAAATAAGCCATCAAACAATCAGGGTTACTTCTGAAGTCTAAAGGTACATGGGGGGATCATATTCATGTTATTTTTAGTAAAACTTGTATTAGACTCAACATATTGAGAATGCTTAAACATATAAAATCGATAGTAAATAGTTGGAAACGTTATTTTATTGTTATATAAGACCTGTGCTTTGGTATGGTGATATTATCTGGAATTACTGTACCATTGGATAGCTATGGAAATTATATCGGGGTTAAAAAGTGGGACATCTCATCTATATATACATTATCTTGAGGTAAATATGGAAAATTTAAACTAAAGACGTCATAAACATAAATAAATTCTAATGTATAAGATCTTTAATCTTTTATCATTAAACAGTGCAATCCTAGTAATCTTAATACAATTCTTTGTCAAATCCGGCACAAAGCAAGTGACTTAACTTTTATAAATTTATCGACAATCTTATTCAAGATGGCAGTTGTTCTTGTTTCTTTTTCTGTCCGAATTGTTCTTATTTCAGGCTTGATTTCTGTGAAATATGTCAAGAATCTCAATAAGTAATTAATTATCTACATTTTTGTAAATATACCTTATTATTCAGTGTAAATGTATATATGTTGTACCGGTTCAGGAGAAGACTTGTATAGGCACTGCCTTTTGTCTAATCCTTTTGTTAACACAATAACATTTGTTGAAACCAAACAATATACGTTGATGGTCGTATGTGTATTATACAGCAACAGACATTTTATTACACATTGTTGTAAGTACTATGAATATAAATATATCACGAAATTAACAAGTATTACAAAATTAAATACCTTTAGTAACGGCTATCAAAATAGGCAGAGAATGCTTTGGAAGGGAAGTAACTCGTATATAACTACATGTACAACTCTTAGCTGTTATCGTAGGCATATAATTAACGATAAATTTCGATACATTCTACTGTTATGATCGACCTGACATTTTGCACAAATTTAGGTAAGTTGAACATATTTATGAATCCGATGACAGATGTAAAAAAAATATCGATTAACGAACTCCCGGGCGCGCGAACACCTCCCTGGACACTCATTCCTCCGTGGACACTCAATCCACCCTCGTGAAAATAGTATTTATCGACGTATTTCGGTACTTTATACTGTTACGATCGAACTTAAACTTTGCACACACCTAGATATATGAACAATATTTAGGAATCAGAAGAAAAAAGTGAAATAAATCTTATAACGAATTCGCGGGCGCGCAAAAACTTCCGAGGACACTCATTACTCGGAGGACACTCATTAGGGTGACCGCACATGCACACCAGCAAAGAGGCCCGTGGTCAGACGTAGACACCCTCGCTGTTTAGAACATATTGTTATCATAATGAAAAAAAAGAATGTCTAAAGTATGAGTATGACGACTTGCACATTAATATAAACAATATGGTATTTAGATACATTAATATACTACCAACAAATGGCATTTGATAGAAAATTACCTTTCTATTACTGATGTGGTTTCCCCACTGCCATGATCAGCGTAACAAATACGCTTGAAGTTGGCATGTTTACAATCGTTTGCATTAAACATAAGATTGATTAAGATCATTAATATAATTAGTTGTACGAAGTACGGTTTGGACATTGTTTAATGAATTGGACAATGATTTTTAAAGTTTGGTACATAGCAGAATCAAGTCAGTCATAATGTCCATTACTGGAACCTTGTACATGTAGAATTAATTAGTGTACAAATGTAGGTTCGTACACTGGATATCGGTAATAAAAATGAGGCATAAAAACATAATAAGTACTCAAGCAGTGCTAAACATACCTGTTCACTACATACATATGTATAAGTCGCCATTAAATAATGACACCATATTAAGACTTGATTATAAATAACTTGTAACATAGTCACTATTAAATATAGTTACGCTGACCATGGCAGGATATTTTTATATTAATATATATATATATATATAAATAACACAGGTACCTAAACGTGCAGTGTACCTGCGTGCATTAAGATATTATATATAGAAAGTGTATATCCCTACGTACACACGCAGATACACACACATACATACACAAACCAACTTATATAAAAGTATAGATAATTAATGACGGTCATACATTTCTATAATAATCATCGTTTACAACGGGTAAATACTAGAGGTTTATGTAAGGTTGAATAAACTGTCACTTATAGTGTGATTATAAATAAGAAGTATTAAATATAAATACAACTGCAAATGCTTGTCACATGATGTTATAGCTTTACAATGCACATATCTATATGTTTATATGTACTTAAATTGTAGCCAATATCTAGTTAGATATATTACAATTGGTTACTGAAGTTAGTAATCCACATATATACAATATAATTTATTACATTTTATACATATATTTACATGTAAATATACCTGTCGTAGATAAAGTTTTCTAAGCATTTTATTATGTAGTTGGAATAGACTTGTATATAAAATTCGATGTGTACATGCATATGTATAAATATAGCTGTAAAGGCAGAGACCCAGTTTAGTGTTTCGTTTTGGATACCGTAATAGTTTAATTTATAGAGCAATCTTTTATGAGGAACTTTGTCAAATGCCTGGCAAAGTCCATTATAATTAAGTCTGTTTGTGTGTTGCTGTTATTATTTGCTGCGAGTTCTTGAATGAATGAGATGAGTTGCGTTTCACAGGATCTAGACTGACGGAAGCCATGCTGGAAGTCATTCAATATATTGTTCTTTTCAAGATGGTTTATGATGTGTTTGGTGATGATATGTTCCATAAGTTTACAAGAAATACTAGTCAATGATATTGGGCGGTAGTTTTCTGGCTTGTATTTTCCCCCTTTTTTGAATACTGGTGCTACATTTGCATGTTTCCAATCTGTTGGTGTTATCCCAGTTTTAAGTGATGTTTTAAAGATTAGTGTAAGAATCGGAGCTGTTTGATCTTTGAGTTCTTTTAATACTCTGCCACTGATGTTATCTGGGCCACTTGCCTTATGTGGGTTTATGTTATGCAGTAGTTTCTTGACACCCGGTAAGGATATTTCTAGTGGTGTTATCACGGGGTGAGAGCTAGCATTGGACCTTTGTCTGGGATGCTGTTATTTGATTCAGTTGTAAACACTGATTGGAACTGTGTGTTGAGAATGTCCGCCTTTTGCTTTGTTTCTGCTATTATACGTTCGCCTGCAGACAAAATAATAGTACATGGGAACATTTAAAGTGTTTATCGACGTCATAGGTGACGTCATAGGTGACGTTTGCGCGGGAGTAAGTAGTGCTGTGGTACGGCAGTCATTCCAATTAACTTGTTCGTGTAAAAAATCCATTTTGATGTGCTCCGGTGCAGTCTCCAGTCAATTGAACATTGCTTTGGGGACACGTTGTTAACATTACAAATGCAGATCTTTATTGACGTGGTTAGGTGGTGTATTGGTTGAGAATGAGTGTAATGTTGAGTATTAGTGAATTTGCATTAAATACATTGAAAATATTTTCATTATCTTTCCAGGTGTTATTGTCTCTATATCAAACTAAACTTAAAATGGCGTTTGTCTAACGCTATATTTTATTAAATTGAATAATTTTGAAACAATAGAATTATTCAAACTTACCTTATACAGGTGACAACTATATAGTGCAATATAATCCAACACAATCCTGAGAAACTTAATGACAAATCAACGTGGAACCGTTACAAATTGTAGCAAATACTTATTCGATCACCTATATCTATCTCTGGTCGTCTACAAATAGAATACCTTTATAATCTGGTCACTTAATCAGCCCTGTTCCGTGTCAATACTCCTTTCGTGTATGACATAAGCACTATCGGAACATTCTATTTACACAAGTCATTGTGGCCGTGGACGCGAGCTATTTTTGAAAGTGTGTCAAGGTCTTTGACTTATATCCCAGACAGCATATACATATACATGTATGCAGTAACAGTTAACATACAGACTACATTGGTTTGTATAGTTGTACATCGTTTATTATGAATCGGAGCGTTCGTGACAATCAGAAAAGTATGCATAAACTCAACAATCAATTAATGCCCAGTGGGCAAATGACGTTTGATAAACGTTGGATCAACGTCAGACCCTGACGTTGGATTGACATTGGATTTTGGTTGAAAATGAACAAAAATAGACGTCAAAACCTGACGTTGTGTAGACGTCAGAGTCCCGACGTCAGGTCTACGTCAGAAACCTGACGTCTAAGCAACGTCTTACATACCCTAAAATAAGCCTGACCTGCATGTAGCTGTTTATTTAATTATCTTTTCATGATTCTGTACAGGCAAGTGTGGATATCATTTTTTTTTTTTATATATTTTGACACCCCTTTTACCAAGACGTTCAGCCAGTTCTCCACCTTTTATTTGAGTCACACACATACAGCTAGGTTTGAACCCACAAAAAACATTTTCTGAATTCCAAGCAATAATACAGATACAAAGTAAACAAAAATACACCAACTGCATTTTATATTATTATTTATTTTGGTCTCCCCCCTCCGCGTCTATCTGGGGCATATTTTAAATAAGACGCAATTGACATATCCACAGCATGCTCTGTGGCATCTTTCCCCGTCGTTGTTTTTAGGGCACTTTCTGCAATTAAAATACAAAATATTTTATTGAAAGTGACTCTGCCTTATTACTTGTGACAATTAACCTATTATCTACTCACAACTTGTTTTGTTTTACTCCTAACGTTTATAAGGTGTAAATTTATGGTTTTGCGATATAGACCTCATAAATGATACATTAATTTACTATTCCCCACATTAATTTTTAAACTGAATCATTAGACTCGGAGCAAGCCAAGTGACTAGTGTGATAATACTGGCCTTACCTTTCACAACTTGATACAATTTCAAGCTTTCAAATGAAAGCTTCCCATGTTCCCCTTCATGTTGAAGTCTGACATAACATCATTGGTCATCAACCTGAAAATCAAAAATTACTGAACTAGTGCACTGGTATAAATATCATGAAATATTTTAACATGATACTGTCCAAATATCGGCACATCTGATGTAGGTTTATTACAACTTTTACTTTATTTTATACATGCAGAAAGTAAACAAAAATGTACAATTCTACAAGTGCTAAGATTTTCTTACTATATATTGAAAAATAACTTAAGGTACAGTTGCAAATTAACTTACCTGCCCATGAGGTTTTTTTATATTGTCCTTCAAATGAAGTCCTCCGATATTTGCCAGATGTCGAGTCTAGAAAAAACAATAACCTCATATTATAACCGAGTACCGAGGGGCGGAACAGTATATGCCCGTCGAATGCCAAATAGTGTTATATACTTTCTTGCGTTGAAATAAGATATGCATCATTCTAAGAGTGGTTAGCCGACATGTTATCAAAAATGTAGGAGAAAATCTCCAGACAAAAAATAAAATACTGAATTGAACAAAGGGCAATAACTTTTGCAACAATCGTTGAATCAAAATTCGGTCAATCGGTCAAAAAGTGTAGGAGGAGATTGCCGGACAAACAAGAGTTTATGACGGAAGGATACCGCCATCCCATAATACTCCCGTCAAATTTGACGGGCGTATAAAAACTGATAAAAAATATGTGTCCTTAGAAACAAGCAGATGTTTAACAACAAACATATTAAAAAATAAATCTGAATAACACTAAGCACATGTAAATTATAAATCGTAACATAATACTTGTTTTTCAAGAAAATAACATATCTCACAAGATTCTGTTTTTCCTCCAGAGTTTTCAGTTTGTTGTCTAAATCATGCAGATTCTCTGTTGAGGTGGCTGTTGGTGGCAAGTTTGCCTCTGTTCCTGCGGGTGCCATGGAGCCACACCCATTTGCAATTTTTTGGATTTCTGTCCTGATATCTGTCAGCAGGTACATGATCCTTTTCTGAAATCCTGTGGAAGAGGCAATAGAATAGTATAATGAGTCAATTATATATGAAAGGAGACAACACATCACTATAAAATAAATTGTCTTGTATTTTCTTATTCTTATATTATTTTTAGCTGTCATTCAAAACAGTGGATGTGCAAAGGAGTAAAACAATTCTGCTTTCAGTTATTTGCAGAAAATACATGAAGAAATCCCTTCATATGAAATAAAGATTTATATTATTTATTGAACTTGATAACTAAATAAAGTGACCATTTTGGAAAACAACTTTAGCTGTAATAAAATGTTACTGGTCTCTTTCAAATATAACACATTCGCTATGCCTTTTATTGAAAAAAAAACACACATCAACTCACTTCCTACCAGTGCTGGTATGTTGAGTTAACAATGGCGATTCTCTGACAGATCTTATGTGAAATCTATCTCTAGCAGATCTTGATCTTGACCTCCTTTCTCGAACTGATCGAGATCTTGACATTGATCTTGACCTCCTTTCTCGAAATGATCGAGACATTGACCTTGACTTTGACCTCCTTTCTCGAACTGATCGAGACATTGACCTTGACTTTGACCTTTCTCGAACTGATCGAGACATTGACCTTGACCTCCTTTCTCTAACTGATCGAGACCT